AAACATTTTTCCTTTCGCATACGATACATAAGATAGCGTAGAGCTGAGGTCTTTTCTGCGCGAGCGAAGGAGTTTAAAACGTTTTCATCTTTCCCACACGGCAAGATCTGCTTACTGAGTCAATCAATAATATTATGTGTAACAAGCCTTAGAGCAAAGCTGGCTTCGAACGAAGCTCCACAACACACGCTGGATAACAGAATTCCCGTCCTTCGTTTTGAACGAAACTGAGCTTGATATCGTCAGCGCCTGTATTCGATTCCGAAAGCGCATGGGAAAAGAATTTTCATTATGGCTTATTTTTTCCAGACCGCGCTGCGGTCGTTCCACAACACGCTCCACAAGCCTCCATAAATCTGGATAAAAGGTGAAGACGTGATGGAGTTTGATAAATGGCGACCATTTCTTAAGAATAGTATGCGCAAGAATTGAAACGCTCGATATCACATAAGAACTCTACAAAAGCTAAATTGGCCGTCTCACCTCCGTCTCACCTCCACAAACGACTTTTTTTGCTCTACCATCTATCGAACAGAAGCTGCGAAATAATTATCAAACTTGATCTCGTATAATTCGCCTATCCGGAATCAGATTACCCATAAAAAGTTATCGCGACATCGAATTTCAAACAAACAAGTCCAATTCTTCTTGACTCACGGACGCTGTCTTTCTGAGACCCGAGCGTAATTGCTTGCTGTTGCAGTCGTTTAGGCACCATAATCCGGATCACACAAAAAAACAAAACTCCTTATTAAACCGAGTGATTTAGACCATTCTGTTGGGTCAGCTCGGCTTTTCGACCGCGTTACCATTCCGATGTGATTCTGTCACAAACTGTTTCTGCTATTCACCTTCACCCTCCTTTCACGGTCACTCGCTCACAGAAATTTCCTTGGTCACGCAGCTCTTCTGCTCAAGGCCAAATTTTTCACCTCGACCCATATAGATTCCATTTCGTCCTTCCTTCTAGCCTCATTTTCAGCTGATGGCACCAGATAAGGGATAGAAATAGTGGCAATATGGTATTTGTGGGAGGGATCCGGCCAAAAACGCAATTTCCCTCAAAATGATAGCCATGTGTACGTGACGGTAAAGGCCGCACTCACCGGATAGTCATGTCCGTGGATTTAACCCAAATCACGGACAGCGAGGCAGAGGTTTTACCTACCCTGGCTCGACACAAAGAACAAATCAAAATGTCCGGCGCTTACAAGTTCCTTTCCTTGCTGCGCCGCTCACTCCGCTCTCGGTCAAAATTATATGGGCATTTGGAATGCACTATGGCCCTTACGGGACCAGGCAATATCTACCAGTTAGCATTTTTCTCCTCCTAATCACGCCCGCTACTGTCCAGCTAGTTCAGCAAGGATGGGAGCCCTGGTGATTAGTCCAGGGAACAGAGTTCTCACCCACGATCGCGCGCCAGGCCAGTGACAACACTTGCTACCAATCCAAGGCATGTCCCCTCGCCGAGGGTAATTTTTGCAGGGTATGCTCACCTCCCTGGCGGAGGTGGTGTAGTGACAAGTGGCGCGCTTACCACTCGCGCGGTCCTGGGTTCGAATCCCAGGTCGACACCCGCCCAGGCCAACCAAGCCTTCTACCCTCCGGGGACGGTAAATTGGTACCAGATTCGTCTGGGAGGATAAAACACTGACTTGTACATCGGCTGGCCACCGCAAGTCATTGTATAGGGCATTCAATAAGCCACTACGATTCTGAATGGAAGTAGAATGCGTGCCGCATCCCACAAAGGGATTGATCAACGGCGAAGACTTTATCCTTTTATCCTTTATGTTCACCCTCCCCCCCCCAATTTGCTCATCAGTAGGACCCCGTTCTCCATCCCTGTCACCTATGCTTCCCAGCTTGTTTTCCAAAAATTTTTCTGATTATCCCCAAAACCTGTTGTCGAGTGGGAGGGGGGGGGTTGAGTCCCATCACCAATTAACTAGGAATTCCTGTTATAAGAATGAGTGATAGATTCCCCCAACCCCACTCAAAGCAACCAAATACGGCCCACCTCCCTCCATTGCTCCTTTTCCAGCGTACGACGTGCCCCGACCAGTCCGTCTTTACTACGAGGTGATATCCTTTCTTGACTCTGGCTAACTCCGTACACTAAGGCCTCAGGACCAAGAAGGGACCAATCATTCCTGTAAGGAGTTGAAGTCATTGCGTACTCCTTATAGTGCAACAGTCTGTTTTCCAGTCGGCCCGTCAGTCGTGGTCCGTCAGTGACGATATAAATTCAGTGTCGCATCTGATTTTGGGCGCTGCAATTTCCTTCCGTTAGGCGCAAGGAGAGATAGGGTGCCTCAAGGTGGGTCCCTCCCAACCCGTTCCAGAGCAGCAGCAGCTGGATAAGTTCCATTAATCGAACAGAACAGGTATTGCATTTTCCCTCTCAGCTCCCAAAAAAAGACCCTTCTGAAGTTAATCTAGGCGTAAGGTGGCGATTACGCTGTAGCGGGCAGTAAACTTGTTTTGTCCGCCGCAATCCTCCTTAAAATCCTCCCTTACGATGGATTCTCAATCGCATTCCCGCTTGCATGATCACCTTCCTATTCTTGTTCTGGCACCAATTTACATATGGACCGGACTCCATCGTTTTCGAATTATAGTGTCTCATCTCTTTTTTGCGGTGACGAATTGATGGCAGATGTTCTCTCCGTTCCATTCTATAGTCACCATCTTGGCGTCCATATGGACGATGTTTGTTATGCTCATTCTTCCCATCCTATGTGGTCCTACAGACTGGCGTTGATCACCATCATTGCTTTAGTTTGCATGGAATGCACCCTCTTCTCCTCGGTTTTACTATGACGTCAGGTTTGGAGAAGTTTCGCATGACCTTGTTTCCAGCAGCAAGAAAAATGATTTCCTCTTGACCCGTTCCAGTGGAGAACGCACGAAAAGTACCGACTGACCTTGTTTGCCCTACATTTCTGGATATGCCTGTGTAAAGAGGGACTGACATACGCTTGATTTTAATCAAGTCAATCACCCTGGACACCACGACCGAGTCACTCCACGCAGTCACTTCCCTTCAAATGAGTGCCATAAAACACCAGAAATTAATGGACATACCCACTAGAAAAGTCCACAGTGCCCACAGATCCTTCACTGAGTACGCTAAGCATTCACCGTCCACCAAGTATCGTAATAACATTTTTTATGTGTTCCACTTTCACTGATCAACAGGGCTAGCCTACAGCGTCTCCAGATTGCTACCTTCATCCATTTCTAAATGCGTCTCCAGATTGCTACTTTCGTCCATTTCGAAATGCGTTCGCATTTGCGTGCTTGAAATGATGGGTTTATCCTTCGGAACAGTTCTGGATCCAGCTGAGCGGTGGAAGCGATCGGTCATTTTGACGCCTCGAACGGGTTCGGCAGTAGACCCAAATGACCACAGCGGCACGTGGTATTAAATGCATTCTCACCACGACTCAGACAATACTTCATCGGGGACCTTTGGGTAACTTTCAGAGTTAAGAATTCCACTTAAACCCCGAAGTTGAGGGGTTCAGAAACGATGCACGTGGGGCAAACAACATTGCTGTCACTATCCTTCCCACATTCTCACAGCCATGGGCCCCCGTAGCTATTGGAATCAATCATTTCTCCATTAGTGTGGATAATGTTCCACAACGCGACTCTTGCAAGTGTACAAACTGATTCCTCTATCAGGCACTTCGTAATTGATTCTCCAATGAAGGGGGAGAGTCCAATTTGGTGCAGGAGAGGGATAGGGGATGCTTTTGAAAAATATGTTTTCGTTTATCAGCCGCTCTCGGCAGGCTTTTTTCGATTTCTAGTGCGCTACACATATGCAGGAAGGAGATGGGAAATGGGTTGAAAAGGGTCGTGCCAAAGATGGAATTTCGAGGAGTGGTCCGTGGAATTTCGAGGAGTGGTCCGCACGCTGCAAAATTTTTCCCCAACAGGTCTGCCTTGTTTTCTATACCCCTTCCAGAAGGGTGACGTATCGCTGCTTTCTCTCCATTTCCTTCAGATTTTTCATTCCTCCCCCCCCCGCCCCTCACGAGCTGCTCTGTCCCTTCTTCATCTGCCTTTCTCAAAGTCTCAGCAGTATTATTGGCGTTGGAGCTTGACGCTTTTTCAGCCAGTTGGCAAGGTTTTCGTAGGATGGAGAACTGGTTACAGGTCGGTGTTTTTTTGGGCCAAGTAGTCGTGCATCGAGTTGGAACGCTGGCCGCCAGTAACGCTGACCTGACGTCACATACCTTTTGGCCCATCTGAATTCCATCTCATCTTCAGTGACCAGGCATGCACGTCCATCGGCCTGGCAAACGTCTTACCCACCCCACCCGCGCGTTCACGCTCCGTTTTGCAATTGTGGTCGATCCGTTCCAGTCTATTGTTTTTTAGTTTCAGATTCCATGTAAGAGATATCCAGCTCTCTCAAGTTTTTTGACACACCGTTTGGCTGTCGCGCTGAATTTGCGGTCGACTTTGGTGATCTTTTCTGCAGACGGTTAGATCTCTCAATGGATCAGACCGTATCCTTAGGAAGCGTCGGAAGTTACCGAGCTCAGATACTCGGACTATGAAGTGTCATTCAAATGGGTCAATTGGGGAGATTCGTAGATCCCTCCATCCCTGACGGGTACCAGAAAAGGTTGCTTACAATGAGAGTTGAAAAGTTAACTTTTCTGAGACACTACTCTTGATGGCCAGGAAACCGTCCAGATGAAAACATTGAAGGAAGACCAGTACTACTTAAAAGCTTCTAATCGGACGCTAACAGTAGGTTCTGGCAATGGTCCAGTGATCGTGGCATATATGTGGTCTGCCCACCAAGGTTACATGATCCTGGCTGATCCGCTCCCTTATCCAGAGACAAGCGACTTCCGCGCTTCTGATATCTATCCGCTATCGTCTGATTTGTATTTTTTTTCTTCTTTCTACTCCAAAGATTATTTTTTCAGGTAAGGAGCACCGAGCACCGAGCACCTAGGTAGTCGTAGTCAGTCATGGCTGCTCATTCGCACGTGATGACAACGACTGTCGTTACGGTCGTTGCCTTGATCACCGCTGTCACGACGTTCACTGCCATTGCCATCGTTGGTTACATTATCAACGATATCAACAACTTCTACGATCACACTATCGAGGAACTAGCCGAGTTTAGGGTAATGTTAAGAGTAGTACTTCTTCACTCAACAAGCAGGATATCCTTCCTTTTCAGGACTTGGCCAACTCAGCATGGCATGAGATGAGACCACAGCCGCGCGATCCTTTCCGACAGATCAGATCGGTCATAGAAGGTCGTACACGTCGTCAATTACCAGACATTTGCAACTGTGGACCGCAAGCTCTTACTTGTCCCGTGGGACCACCTGGCCCTCAAGGACCACCTGGTGCAACAGGAGAACCAGGTAATCCTGGAACCCCAGGCATACGTGGTCACGACGGAATCTCGTTAAGCGGTGGAGGAGGAGAAATTGGATGCATCAAGTGTCCCGCTGGACCGCCAGGTCTACCTGGTCCAGACGGTCCGATGGGCCCACAAGGTGTCGACGGAGCACCAGGAATGGCATCCCCGTCTGGCGCCGTTGGAGCACCAGGACCGGCTGGACCAGATGGTGATCAAGGACCACCAGGTCTACCAGGACCTCCAGGTCTTCCTGGATCTCCTGGAATGAACGCTCAGTCTGGAACAGGCCTACCAGGGCCACCAGGAGTCGCTGGACCACCTGGTCCACCAGGTGCTCCTGGGCTTAATGGAGTCGATTCACCGCCTGGAACACCTGGACCAATGGGTGAACCAGGGCCACCAGGAAGTGCAGGACCACGCGGAGCAGAAGGACAAGCAGGAATGGAAGGTCCTGCAGGTCTACCTGGTCACGATGCCGAATACTGTCCATGCCCACCAAGGTCAACGAAATTCGATCGGCGCAGTATTTTAGCGGACAGTTTTGTCGACAATGCAGCCGTCAGTTCTTACAATCTCAGGATGAGAGATGACGTGCATATGGGCGCCACTCGTTTGGTTAATAGAAGGGCTCTTCGTAGGCGTAAGCACTGAAGACAACAGTAGAAGCAGCTGTTGTAAAGGTCTTCGAATAATCGTAGATAGCTTTGTACATGTTCGTTTTTTAACTTATTTGTGCCCTTGTTTGTATAAACGATTTTGGGTGCTTCACGATTTCACTGTATCTGATCTAATTGGAACATTCAAAAAATCGAACGAAATAAAAGTGGGTACTTTGTGTTTCGAAAGGTGCAAACGGTGCTCAAACGAGGATGAGCTACGCCATTTTTTCCTCGTCTGTATCCTCTCACTGAGGCTGGCTTTGTTGCATCAGAGCATAACACAGTTATCCCCCCCCCCTTAGAGATGATCTCTCGCGGGGCAGACAGCGTCAGACATAAGCTAAACTTGACTCACTCCCAATATTTTCTCCCGGTCTGAGGATGGATTTGTGGTAACTGCTAAAGATTATTTGTAAAGTTTCCGTGGGAAAGATCCCAATGTCTGCAAGAGAAATTATATTATAGTTCCTCACATCGTAGTCGCCGGGGCGGTGTGAGGAGGGCGGGGCGAGTCCGCCTCCGGTTGCCTTGCTCTACCAATGGTGACCGCTTAGTGATCGATTTAGGAAGGAAATAACCAGTGATAGAAACGCTGCAGGTGGGGTCAGACCGTCTGTCTTCAAGCCAGCTCCACTGATTGTGATGAGACCAACTGTACGTTGACAAGATGGACTGGTCAGAGATGGTAGGAGTGGCCAAAAATCACACTTCAAAGTGATATTATGAGCCCGGAGATGAGGTAACAACCCCACGTTGAGGAACCTTCTTTTCCGGCTGATGTTTCGCTCGACTGAAGCTATTATACAGACGGCTCCATTGCAAATTATCATAGGGTATCATAGGGCTATCATAAGACTGCCTGGACTGACACCCACGAGGAATACAGAAATGTCAACGCTATTTCAAAATACCCACATATTCTCCAACTTCTCTCTTCTTGCATCCTCGGCATCTTCAGTTGTACATTGTGTTAGTAGTTAATGTGCCTTCCTGAGGTTGATAGGTGGAACTTTTATTCAACGGCCAACGTTTCGACTGAATCGTCGTCTTCGGGGCCTGAACATGATTCAAGGTTTAAATTTTACGCTCTATCCACCAAGCGCCTCATCTTCTCTAGCGGTTCCGACATACTGACAGGAACCTCGAAGACAATTCCACCAAACGCATAAAACGAACTCACCTGGAGTCCCACCTTTTGAGCGGATAAATTCGCTACCGCACTAGCGTCAGTTAGAAGCGAGTAATACATGCTTAAGCAGCAACTCGTATCACTTCCTATGTCTTGCGATAAGATACTGATGATATTAACGAGACCCTCGTAGTGATGTACTACTCTACAGGGGGGAGCCCAAAAAAAGTCACTTCGACCGAGTCACATATCAGCAAAGTTTTCGCTGCCCAGACAGAGAAGATGTTCCTCTATAAGCAGGAGCTGGCTCTCGCCCATCACCTTCATGTACACCAAAATATGAAGTCATCTCCAGTCGCAGCCTGACTGGAGAAGACCTTTGGAATTCATGTCACCTCCAAACAGCTGCGAAACTTCTAGTATGGAGTCACCCATGGATAGCTACCTGGAGACCAGTACTCTCGATCTGGATGACCTCCAACATCGAGCAGCTCCGACAACGTCGCCACGGTCTAGGACATCATCTTCACCGCAGTCGCCAAGGCGCGGGTTGATGGTATGGACCGGACGTACCTGGAATGGAAAGACCGATATTTTCTTCGTGGACCCCGGACTGAAAGTGAACGCTGACGGTTACATCGACCAACTCGAGAGAATATCCTGCCTTTATGTCATCGCCTGTACCATCTTGGCTACAGGATCGGGTGCCATGGAATCGAAGGCAGTTGGAGAAAATCTGGCGTACTTGGAATGGAAGGGCGTTGAATACCTGAAGAAGACGGAATATCCAAGTGTGTCACCTGACCTAAATCCCACTACCCTGTTCGGGT